GAGATCTTGTCTGGGTTTTGGCTCCGCCATCCCAGCCATAACTTACAAACTGTTTGGTCCATATTACGTCCGATTGGTCTCTAAATTAAATAACCATTGATTGTATATGATGTGTATGTATTTTTATTAGACAATGAAAACAGTTAATATCACTAATACGCTCACTTTTATTAATAATTTCATTGTCTTGGATTAATCCATTTTCAAGTATAAAAAAGTATGCAAATTCTCTCTCACTCTCTCTCTCTCTCTGTGCATGTGTATACTTGTATGGTCACTCGTGAACCAGAAGCATCAACTGACTCACGTAGATTATTCTGTGAATCACCGCAGGTGGATACGGTACCATTAGTTACTCTCGAACATTCCCATCTAGGATCGCCAGAAAGAACGAGGGAGGAAGAAGAGGACGGATNTAGGAAAGAAGGAAAGGGAAATGCCAATGGTATCATCAAAGCAAGCCCAAAAGAATAGACAAATCAAGCATGGTTTCAACCGGAGAGAGGGAGCGATATCAATGAAAGCTACCAAGCAATACTCAAATAAACCAAACGTTCCGGTTGTTTTGAGAACCGGATGTGAAAACAAGTGAACTGCGGAACATCTCTGACCTTTCATTTGGCGGAGATGAGACAAAGTGAGAACATAACTAATGACAAAACTAGTCATTCAACGAATCGCATTTGGGCCGTGCAAAAGTCGAACCGACTAGTTTGTTCTGACGTTGAGTAATTCAAGGGAAATACTAACTCCCAGGTCTCAGCATTTTGTGAAATGAAACTAGCATACACTAACAACTCAACTCATCGGGTTTGAGTTATTTTTTCCTGGAAAATATGTACAGACACCTCAATCCCGTAAAGTGAAATTTTGGCCACTTCGACTGTACAAAAATTCAAACAGATCCCCGTTGAATTGTTTTCGCTCTATAGGACGTGACCCAGACGCATCACGAATGAAGTGTCGGCTCATATACAAAAGGCTTCATTGGTATTTGCCAACTTGAAGTGCATGACTAATGAATTGTAAAAACTGAAGCTGACCCAGTAGAGTAGTGAGCAAGTGAGGCCTGAAAAATGCATACAACAGGTTTGTGTAGTATTTTTCGCACGATTCTTCACAAGTATCCACCAAAAATTACTTTGGAAGTCTGGAACAGCTTTGTTTGGCTGGGTTTTGTTTAACTTGCCACATTTCGTTTGTCGTACGAATGGTGATGGTCACGTGGTTAAGATCATCAGAATCGTGGTGACACGAAAGTCCTCATCTCGACAGACGAAATCACTATCCATTAGCAACAGTTCTGTATTTCCTGAAAGCAGCCTCCCCCCTAGTTCTGAAATTTGATTTAATATTGTTTAGAGTAGGTGTCTCTCGTCTTCAGGGATGGGGTACAAACTACTTACAACCCGTATGTTTGGAGACACTGAAGTTCATGGATGCGAACCGACAGCAATGGCGATCTTGCTGTCATCTATTATCAGACCAGAATGCCTGAAACGGTATGTGTGCACAATTAGATTGTGTACTCTGTGTGTCGACCATACAGGTTCCCTTTCTTTTCCCGTTCCTAAACATAGGTTCAATCCTTGTCCTCCTTACGCATTATCAGTTACCTTTTATTCAATTTAAGTTTGTCAGCGATCAGTGAAGTTCGCTTCACCATAGTACGCTGTACAATGATTATGATGATGTGTTCAATAAACAAAGGAGGGAAAAACGTTTCGTAGTTTATTATTTAGTCGTTAATCAATCAAAATGAAAAAACATTGTCCATACTAGGTGGTACTGAGCTGTGTTCTAGTTCTTCAATTTAATATAATTACAACCACACTTATGCTTTCTCAATGTTCAATGAACACACTGTTTTCAAACGCGGTTCACCAGGGGAGACTGCAGTTAATCGCACTCAGAAATCGGAGGAGTTGAACGATTTCAGCAAAGACAGAAACATACGGTCCGCAGTATGGTAATCACATCCGGATAACAGAACCGC